ATGGCGAGATCATTGCAAATCAGCAAACCTTGGGTGCGTGCTGATCACCTGAGCAGGAGCAGCACTAGGCATATCTAAAACTTAATTGTTAACCTTGTGGAGCTGCAGTGCAGGACCATTTGCATGCAAAATGGTGGAAGCCAAATATGATAGAGCTAAACGATCCCCAAATGGTGGTCGATAATTAACTAACAGGAGGTGAATCCACAAATAACACAGTGGCTCAGTGGTTAGCACTGCTACCTCACGGTGCCAATGACCCGGATTCAATTCCACCCTCTGGTGACTGACTGCGTGGAGTTTGCACATTCTCCCTGTTTGCGTGGGTTTCCTTCGGGTGCTCTGGTTTCCTCCCACAGTCCAAAGATGTGCAGGCTAGGTGGATTGGCCATGCTAAATTGCCCATAGTGTAGATTAGGTGGCTTACCGGGGGATGGGTCTGGTTGGGATGCTGTGATAGTCGGTGTCGACTTATTGGGCCAAAGGGCCTGTTTTCACACTGTAGGGATTCTGTGATGAATCTACAATGATTAATGATGGGAAGCTGAGCACATCTGTGCAAAAGACAAGACTGAAGTATTTGCAAATATCTTCAGAAGTGCTGAAATAATGATCTATTTCAGCCTCTTTGATCGCAGATTCTAGTATACAGTTGATTCAATTCTATCCATTTGCTATCAGAAAAATAGCTGAAGGTAATGCATACTGCAAAATCTACAGGACTGATAATATTCTGACACGTGTACTGAAGACTTGTGCTCTATGTCACCACGTACTGTAACAGGTTGGTTACAGTACAGCTACAATACTTGTATTTACCTCGTGCAAAATTACCAGGATATTTCATATCTACTAAAGGCAGGACAAGTCCAACCTGGTTCATTAATCTATTGGTCAACTTGCCGTTATCAGTAAAGCGACGGAAGATGTTTTTGACATATCTATCAAGCAGCATTTATGTAACAATAACCTATTCACTGCTTCTGGGTTCTGCCAGGACCGCTTCACTCCTGAGGTCATTGCAATTTTAGTTTAAGTGGTAAATGATGTACTCCAAGCATGAGGGGTGCATAGCTGCCCTTGACATAAAGGCATTATTTGACCAAACATAACATCCAGGAGCTCTGGCTCCTGCAGTCAATGCAACTGTTGAGGTGGCTGAAATCATACCTAGTGCAAGGGAAGAAGGTTTTTGGTTATAGTCATTTGAACACTGCTGCAGGAGTTCTTCAGGCAGTTCTACTGTTCAGATAAATTGTTGCACCCCCTGAACAGGTGAGACTTTAGCCCAGGCTTCCTGGCTCAGACGTAGGGGCACCATCACTGCATCATAAGAGTTCTGGTTCCTCAGGGTAGTATCCTTGATTCACATTTCTAAGGCTATTTCATCAATGAAACATCATAAGGTCAGAGCTCAGGATGTTCAGTGCGATTAGTGATCCTCCAACCACTGAAGCAGCCCACGTCCATACTAAGCCTAAGCTGGACAGGCTGATGAATAGCAAGTAACATTCATACTATAGAAGTGCCATACCATGACCACCCCCCACCTCTTCGTTATTACTAAATCTCCAACTGTCAACGGCCACGGGTGTATAATTGACGAGAAACTGAACTGGAACAGTCATAAATACTGCGGCTACAAGAGCAGATCAGAGGCTGGGAATTCTGCAGTAACTTGCCACCTGGTTCTTCACTGCCCACATGACAAGTTTCAAAGCAGATATGTGATGGAATATTTCGAGCTCCCCGAGTGTATGCGGCTCCAACAACCTGTATCATATTGAAGAACAACTATTTGCAAATTCCCTTTAAGCCGCACACCAAGCTGACTGTTTAAACTATATTGCCATTCAATCGCTGTTACCGGGCCGGAATCATTAAAATCCCTCTCAGACTATGGTGTCCCTCACCTATAGTTCAAGGCGGCAGCTCATCACTCTTCTCTGGATTAGTTGGAGATGAGCAATCCGTCAACACATGAGAGCTTTTTTTTAATAGAGATTCAAGTCTTTTTAGAAGTCAGTATTTTGAACTTGGAGTCGGGACCTGAGCTAGAAGATGGTCGTCTTCATTTGTTCCTAAGAAATCACCTAATTCCAATTTTCAAGAGGAAAACTAATATAACTAGGAAAAGAATACGTGCGATAGTTTCCCACCGTCTTGCTCATGTGATGGAAGAAAATACCAGTACTCTTCCCCGAAGGATTGTTTTTGCTTGTTAGCAGCTTTGCCCTTCCAGGTTCTAGCTCTTCGGCCCTCACTACCGAAAATTCGCTGCTTCCGACTTTAGCCGTGGCTCGTAATCCAGAGCGTGGAACCCTTTGCTGTGACAACTGGAGAGAAGGACAAGATGACCGGCCCATTGAGAATTCAAATGACTGCGATCCCAAATGGGTGCACGTACGCATTCCTTTAATTTGCAAATTATAGTAGTACTGATTTGATACAAGTACTTTAAAAGATCTGGCCCATAATGTACCATTGGTGTGTGTGAATTGCAAGTTTGCACAAAGGTGTTTTAGTAAATATTTGTACATTTAATTTGGGAGAGGATCGGAGAATCACGTGAGCAGTCGAAGGCTTTTCTCGGAACTGTTTTTGCACAGACTAAGCTGCTGCCTGTCAATCGGCGTCATGTCCGTCCTTTATCGACACTGAACCGAGCCACACGTGGTTTGACGGAACCATAGCTGTGCAGTTTATGCTGTTGTGCACGTCTTCGTCACGTCTCTAGTTGTGCGCCTCTCCTCACTTCTGGCAGCGTTATTTTATTTTTATTACTTTTTTTTTCAGGGGAAAAGAACCCAAAAAAAAGGTTGCCATGTCTGCAAATTGCCATGCAAGCAAAAGCTGCCCGATCCCCACCAAAGTTCTAATGAAGGATCTGTCCCAGCTGCCAGACTTGTACAGCAGTACACCGGGCGGCACCTTGTTCTCCACCACCCCCGGAGGTAATGTAACAAAGTGACACCGCAGCGGCATGGACAGTCTGCCGCTAGACGGGCACTTGTATGTTGTTGCCAGTTGAGTAAATGTTCACTAATGAGTTTGAAACGAGTGTTTAAGACGCGAGTTTCTATTTAAGCTTTTCCTTCTTTACTATATCGTGGTGCGAGAAAAAGGACGAAATAAAAGTTCCGTGGGGCTGCTCGGTCGATCTTGCACTCCCAGCGTTTCTGGTGTGGCTCAAATCTGTCCAGATAAGCTAAAATTCATTGTTTAAATTGAGGATTTGCGTGTCTTCTGCAGTGTTAAGTTCAAGTGCCATGCGTCGCTTGGAGTCACATGTAGGATCAGTCAGCGCGTAAATATTTTGAAGCATGATGCAAACTCTGTTTATTCGAGAGTCCAGGGCTGTAGCCCAAACTGAAAAGCCTTTTTCTCGTTGCAATGAAACACGAAAGGACCATTTTCTTTGGTAAAGATGAAAATAAATGTTTTTCCTTCAGTACTACTTCCCAACCGCTGGACCTGAATTCTGAATTATTCGAATCTAGGAAAAATTCTGGGGAAAAAAAATAGTAAACTTTGGAAGGGAAGTCGTTTCACTTATACACTTCCAATCAGCTGGTTTTTGGAGCTGCAGTACTAGAACCAGTGATATTCGGTGGTCGTGTGTAAGCAGCTAAATAAAATTTAAATCAGTAATCATTTTGTTCACTGTCAGATTGAAGTTAATTTAGGAGACCTGATCGAACGGGCTGGAATTGCAGAGGACAATTCTAATGTGAGCTTTTTTAAACCCATGGTCTTTTGGTGGAACATAATGAAGACAGATTACAGATTTCAGTGATACAAATGTTTACGTACGTAAATATATATCTCCAAAAAAGAGAGAATCTAACCATTGACATTCAATGGCACTACCATCACTGAATCTCTGCTACGAACGTGCGGCGTTTACCATTGACCAAAAACTGAACTGGACTAGACGTTATATATATATTGTGGCTACAAGAGCAGTTTAAAGGCTAGGAACCCTGCAGTGAATAACTCACCTCCTAGCTCCCCATCCACAAGGCACAAGTCATGAATATGGTGGAAAACTCCCTGCTTGCCTGGATGAGTGAAGATCCAACAACACTAAGCTTGGCAACGTCCTGGGCAAGATTTATGTTACTGGACCCCTCACACATGATAAGTAGAAATGCAGTGCAGCAATGTCAATAAACTGCTACTCCTAGTTTGCTTATAGTGTATTGCCCAGGGCGTATTCAGGAGTATTCAAAGGTATTGTTGTAATTTGTGCAAATTTTACAAATGGAGTTGTTTCGGATCCATATGTTGTAATGACTGCTTGATGGTGCAAGTTAGATTCATGCAGGAAAATGTCTGGGACAAAGCATGATATCATCATGTACGCTAGGAATGTAGATAATGAGAATTAGATTACAATATTGAATTTCACTCTGATTTTAAGCAGAAGAGTATGGCATGTTGAACAGTTTCAAACATGCCATGCAGATTTATAATACTTTTAAATTTATTAGATTACTGTGAGCAAACCATTTGCCCAAATGGAAGCCAAGGGAAAGTGACATGAGAAGGAAGTAACATGATGTGTTTCTGTTTATTGGGTTTGAAGTTGCAGTATATACACAGTGGGCAAAATATGTTATGTTCACTATTAATGTTCATATTAGAGGAAGGCTGTTGAGGTTTTGAGAGGCTAAAATGCAGATTTACATGGATAAAATACGAAAAGGTTCAACTTTTTTATTTGATCAAGGTAGATTATAGTTTAAAGTGATACAGATATTTACACATATAAATGTCCATCTCCGTCGAGAGAATCTAACCATTGCCCCTTGACATTCAGTGGCATTACTTTCACTGAAGCCTCCAACTGTCAGCATCCTGGTGATTGCCATTGACCAGAAACTGAACTGATATGCAAATACTGTAGCTACAAGCGCAGTTCAGAGGCTAAGAATCCTGCAGTAACTCACCTCCTGGCTCCCCAAAGCCTGACAGCCGTCCAGAAGGCATACATCAGGAGTGTGATGGAATACTCCCCAGTTACCTGGATGAATGCCGCTCCAACAATACTCAAGCTTGACACCATCCAGAACAAAGCAGTCCACCTGGTTGGCAACTGATCTTATTCTATGTTTATAACTTCCAGCTGTTTCTATATTATTACAATATGGTAAGTTGCAACTTTCTTCACAACTATTTCATGTAGTTGAGGAATAATAACCAAAAAGACTTGCATTTATATAGCATCTTTAGGATGCCCCAAAGCTCATTTAACTGCCGTTAATTGCCCTTGAACTCTAGTCTGTGCTGTAATGTAGGAAAATGTGGGCACAAGTTAGTTGTTTCAGGTAGATCTTAATACTTTTCTCTTTGCTGTGTGTATTTGCTTGAGGCTAATTGAGCCTGAATAATATGCTGTAGCAGATAATGCATTTTAATGTACAATTTTGTAGTTCACTTCAAAACATTTTAAGTTACTCACATTTCTTTAGTTAGTGTGGCACCTGTAACTTTGCCTCTGTGCAATCTTTATTATGCATAACAATTTGGGTTATGAGCTAACAAAATGTGAAGCTGGAGGAACACAGCAGGTCAGGCAGCATCAGAGGAACAGGAAAGCTGACGTTTCAGGTCAGGACCCTTCCTCAAAAAGATTTTCTGAAGAAGGGTTCCAACCCGAAGCGTCAGCTTTCCTGTTCCGTTGAGGCTGCCTGACCTGCTGTGTTCCTCCAGCTCCACGCTTTATCTCTGACTCCAGCATCTGCAGTTCTTGCTATCTCACAATTTGGATTATGTTCTGTTTGTAGTTACAGGCCACATTTCTCCTTGATCTGACTTGAGATCTATTATTTATGAGCTGTAAGAAATAGGAATTGGTTGACTTGTAGATAGATGAAGCAGGAAGAAACTAACTTTCTCAGAATTTTATTAAGTACAATTGAAATGCAAGATTAACTGCTTCAACCTAAAGTAAAACATAATCATGCAGAAAACAAACAAAAACCATAATTTGAGATAGAAATTCATAACATCAGAAAATTGTAACTTGTAGTTATCATGCTGGCATGAATCTAGATCAAACCTCAAATTCTGCATTATTCCAACTACCCTACCTTACAACAGGAAAAATATTTGTTTTAAAATGTTGTCCTTACTGGAGTTGTTGCCATAGCTAGTTCAGTATTTTTCCAATGTATGCAATGGTTGAATCGATAATACACAAAGCACAAGTCTGCTAAACATTGAAATTGTGACAAGGAGATTATTTAATTTCAAAATACATGTGCAAAGAGGGTCCTCAAACTACCCAATATCAAATTTACATAAAACATACAATATAAAGGGTGCGTTTTTGATTACTTGTGTTGTAATTTCATTTTTTAAAAAAAAACTATTTTAAAACTAGCTGTTCCCAGTTTTTTGGAAGTTGTTCACATCTGATTTTCCAATGCAGTTTTTAAAATTTCTTACTAGAATAAATAACAAATATTCTGCTCATTGTATTTGCTGGATTCCATATTTATGACAACACCTAGTTTATTTTGTGTACTTTAACTTTTGAAATATTTTTTTGAAATATTTTCAGTTGTCACTGGTGATTAGAAGACATGTAAGCCACCTTTGTAAAGATTGATAATTTTACACTATCGAGTGGATACAATTGTAAGTGTTATGTTATTAACAGTTTTCTCTTTTTCTCGTCTAGTAATGACTGATGCTGTTAAGTCAGGACAGTTATTCTATCCTGATGTAAGGCATGTTACCTGCTAAAGTTTTATCGCTCTGGAACTCCTCGGGCAGCATGGTGGCTCAGTGGTTAGCACTGCTGCCTGGCAGCACCAGGGACCTGGGTTCGATTCGAACCTCAGGCGACACTGTGGAGTTTGCACGTTCACCTCATATCTGCATGGGTTTCCACCAGGTGCTTTGGTTTCCTCCCACAGTCCAAAGATGTGCAAGTTAAGTGGATTGACCATGGGAAATTGCCCGTAGTGTTTAGGGATGCGTAGGTTACATGCACTTGCCACAGGAAATGAGTGTTACGGGGATTGGTATGGGTGGGCTGCTCTTTGGAGGGTCAGTGTGGACTTGTTGGGCTGAATAAACCGATTTAGCGATTCTATTCAATGATTCTAATGTTCCCTAACTTTCAGTGTAAAGCTTGAGGTTAACTGAAAGAACTGTTCATATGCAAGTGTAAGAACTGATTTATCAACTGTCAGGGATTACAGACTTTTGGTTACAGTTTACTCTGCTGTTCATGAGTGTGAAAATAAAAAGAACTCTTACTTTATGTTGTCTCACTGGCATTGCACAATTGCTGTGTGCAAAAACTGTGTACAGTATATGAAAAGATAGAAAAGGTTATGAGAGGCCAGATGTTTTGAGCTAAACTGTTTAACATACAATGCCAGACAATTTTGAGCAATGTTCATTTCCCATGTTGGGTTGTTAATCCACCTGTGTTGTTCATTCTTTCACTCAGGATGGAGATTAAATATGAATGACAAGTTCATGAATTATCAGTTATGTAACTGTAGGAGCACCTTATTTAAAGTGCAAGGTTTTGACATTCTTATATATGCTGATAAGGGTATATCTTCTGAGCTATGTAGATGATGCAAGCAGTTTTTGTTGGTTTACCATTCTATTAAACATGAAAATAAATTGAATTACTTGTAACTGTCAAGAACAATGTGGTTCGTGGTCAACCAAGGCATTTGTAACATGTTTATGTAACATATATATTTTTGGAAGTTAATCCTATTAAATTGAACCTTTAAAAATATTTTATGAAAGGGATTATGATCTTTCCATCTTTTTCTGAGTGAACATGCAAGCATTCACTTAATAGTTAGTAATCTAAAGTAGCTTTCTTTAAAAACAAATTGTCATGTAGTGGGAAATAATACAGGGCAATAGATCTTTTCATGCCAATTGATTAGTTTAATCATTTCAGATGTTGGCCCACAACTGCATTTTAGATTTTGTGATCTTTATGTAAAGAAACAAAAGCTTTGTAGTGAAATTTAACGAGCATTATTTTTCAGGTAAACTTCGATATAAAATGCGCATAATTTTCCGAAGCACAAGGTCCAATATTTTAAACCTGCATCCAAATATAAACTGTGACTTGTGATTGACAGAGTTGCACCCTGTTCCTTTGGTTTTGAAATGGGAAAGAAATTTTGGTAAATTCCTTTTCATGGAGATTGTGGGTTTTTGGATATGCCATTTGAGCTACAAAACAAAAACCACAAATCCTTGGTATCATCTTAAGGAGAATCAAGTCTTTGTCATGTCCACCCCTCAGTCAACTCCAGAACCAGACTAAGTAGTTATTTTTTACTCCTCTCCTATTTTGCCCCTGCAATAAAAGTGCATTTGGCACACTAACTGCAATTTTTTAAAACAGTAATTTAAATGAAAGTGTCACTTGGGACCACCTAAAGGAGTGTTTTTAAATGTCAAGGCAGTGATAATTTTGATATTCCATTCGACATCACTTTCATCCAGTTCTCAGTTCAAAGACAAGTTATAGTATGGGGTGACATGCTGAAATTATGTCATTTTGTAGTGCTATGTAAGTATTCCAGTTCACCGCACCCATTATACGCAACTTTTAATATTAATTATAACTCGAAAGTGAAAACAGAAGAAACACAGCTTGTGATTGTTTAATAATTTTCAAGAATTTAAATTATGTAAATTGACTGGATGAACTAGGTTCATTCTATTTGGAAACAAGCTTGAGAGGAGACTTGATAAAGGTGTTTATAAATCGTGAGGAATTTAGACAGAACTGAAAGGCAGATTATTGGCGTTAGAAGTGTTGAAAGCCAAAGAATGTAATTGAGGTAATTTACAAGTTTGAAAAGCAGCAGATCACTTTGGGCTGGAATGCACTGTGCTGGAGAGGATGTTGAAGGTGGATTCAGTCCTAGCTCTTAAAAGAAAATGAAAATTGGACAAGAAAAACAAATTTAGAGCTACCAGAAATGGGACCAGCTATACTACCTTTCCAGAGAACTGACATGGCTCAATAGGGCAAATGCCCCTCTTCTGTGCTGTAGCTGTTGTATGATTCCAACCATATGTGATAGGATCCAGAATCTGGGTTTCAGCATATTTAGTACTTGAGTTAATGGGCATTTGTAAGACCATTTCATTTTGCTAGATAATCACCTGACTGCTAGTCCTGTTGATATTCTTTGATTCTGTATATTTATGGATAATTGCAACTGGATGGTGCATAGTCACTTCTTTCAGCTACAATTGATGCAATCGCATGCAGTAAGAAAAAGGATCGTCATTCATCATGGCAGCCAAATCCTACATAGTCAGACCTTTCTTCTCAGTTCTGAACAAGAACACACAAAACTTGATACATTATGTGCAGCTACTATGTTCTGTAAGTTTTCTTCTTGCAATATTTGTAATCCCAGTCAGTCCCTCTATTTAGTAAGTACTTCTGAGATGAATGTACAGACTAGGAAAGTTTCAGGATCAATACCTGTTCTCTGAAACCTAAATCAAGGCTACTATTTGGTTATTTGTATCAATGTGGCTCAGTGCAAGCCTTAGAATCAGAGCGATGTGGGTCCACATGTCTCTGGCGGTGGAACAAATAATCTAAACTGATTTTTCAATACAGTACAATACATGGGAGCTGCTATATTTTTGGATATGCTGTTTTTTGATTGAGGTACTAAACAAAGACCCCAGATTCATGGCATCGTGTTCAGGAGAACTGAGTCTGTCCAGTGAACATCCATCCCTCAGCCACCGCCAGAAACAGACTAAGTAGTCATTTATTCCTCCTGTCCTATTTTGCCCCTGCATGACATACTAACTGCAGTTTTAAAAAAAAAAAGTAATTTATTGGCATTAGGCCAATATGACATTGCAGAAGCTGCTACATCATTGAAAGTCATCTCTTTGCTACTATCTTCGAATGATACAAGAATGAAATAATCTGTAGGAGTTTCTTCTGATAATCCAGGTTTACAGATTTTTTTTTTAAAAAAAGGACTCTTTTGCTATTGCATAGGTAGTCAGGAAAGTTGTGGTAATAAGTATATCTGTCAAGGTATATTATTGTCTACGTCACAAGGAGTGTCTCAATAAGTGAGCAAATATGAAGGAAAATAGAAACAAAATATTATCACTGTTTATTCCCAGGTACACGGATTGTCTATGGCCGCAAATTCTTGCTGGAATGCAGAAATTCTCCACTTGCTCGGACACCGCCGTCCTATCTTCCTCAGATCCCAGGTGTAACTATGCCACAACACTCAACTCTAGCTAAAGTTGAAGAACTCAAAGAACTTGAAGCAGAGACAGAGAAAGAAACTCCAGGTGAGAATGAATCTCTTAAAAAGTTTTAGAAAACTTAAAACCAACTTTTTGAATTTAAGGGGAAATAGTACACCATTTTTTAAAACTCTTGCCACAGTCCAAAGATGTGCAGGCTAGGTGGATTGGCCATGTTAAATTGCCCAGAGTGTTCAGGGATGTGTAGGTTAGGTGAGTTGTAGGGGAATGGGCCTGGATCGAATGCTCTGAGGGTTGGTGTGGACTTGTTGGGCTGAAGGGCCTGTTTCCACACTGTAGGGATTCTATAGAATTAACTTAAGGAATGATAAGGTGAAATATTCTCTGAAGTTAATTCTATAGAATTCTGTAGAATTAATTTCAGAGAATATTTCACCTTATTATTCCTTTACTTATAATTAAAAAGAAATCTTATTAAAGGCTAGCAAAAGAGAAACAAAGTGATGAATGGTATAAAACAACAGAACACCAGAGAAAATCTGAAACAAAAATTGGAATCGCTGGAAAAGCTCAGCGGGTCTGGCAGAGTTGATGTTTCGGGTCCGGTGACCCTCAGAACCCCTCATCCATGCATCCAGGCGATCCAGAAATGAATTCTTCAGACTCTGTTCTTCACTCAATTTGACCTCAGTCTTGTTGGACGTTGGCCCTATTATCTATCTGATATCTAGCTAAATCTTGATTTAAATTTAATGTTACCATCTCAAGAAGGTCTTCCTGGCAATCTGTCATGGCTATTAGTCTGTAACAAATGCTTCCTGTGAATTGTCTTAAATTGTGCCCTTCACAACTGAGAATTTACATCTTTGTATCTTGATGTCTCAGCAATTTTGAAAGTCTGTTGAGTTTGTTTTGATCCTGTTCAGTATTTCTTTTATGATTCCTCTTGAATTGTCTCGTCATGACTATGAAAAACACTTTTTTGAGATCTGTTGCCCTGCTGTTTTCTCCACTCTTATGATCCCTGTGGAGAAAACAAAATCAAACTTATCAAGCAATACTGAATTTTTTTAAAAAATGGACAAGATTTTACTCTTTGTAACTTTTATTTGGCAATCAAACAAAAATCACTATAAACTGAATGTGAATTAACAGATAAATGCTAAACGTATATGACTTATCAATTAAGTTGGTGATATAACAAACTTGGATCTCAGATTTATTGGGCTACCCACTCAGTAAATGTGACTGTAAACTTAAAATAGCATTCAAATTCCTTAAAAATGTGAGCCACTGATTTATCACCCAAAAACAGCTCCCAACTGAGCACATTCCATGGGCCTGCTCTTCATCAGAATGGTGCACTTCTGCAGAACCCCTGAGTCCAGCCAATGGCGGTCTTGATGGTGTGGATCCACCAGAATCAGTTATCTGAACTCTCAGGAACAGCTCTGTGTACTGTATGGCTGGTTTTGATAAGTTAATTCCTTTAAGAATATCTGAAGCACTAACTCTAACCTCATTTCCCCACTTTCAAAACAGCCTTTGTATTCACCTTTGTTACAACTGTGTCCAACCTCACCAGCAAACCTGTTTATGCTAGTTGGGGGTCACATCACAAAAGTGACATCTGTGACGTCCTTTCAGAGGCTCAGCCAGTGATATGTCAACTGTAAAGCCCAGCAACAGCTGATTATTTTTCTCCTCTTAATAAACATCGTGGAAAGCCGGACATGTACCCACTGTACCTGTCAGTCCAGGAACCAAACTAGTCCTTTCCCAATCTACTTCTCTAAATTTTCGGACATTTTTGCAGGTCTTCATACTTGGCCACCAGGCCTGCAGATGTCACTGGCACCAGTCACATCCCATTCAGTCTCTGTAAACTGCGGTACCTCCACACTGTCTGGAAGGTCCCTTTAAATTGAGATGACAAAAACTGTAAATATTGCCTCCTTACTTCCACCATTGAGAGTGAGATGAGGTTTTTTTAGCCTGTTTACTGTAAACAGTATATTTCAAGAACTAATGGACAAGCTTTGACAACTTGGTACCCAGGAGTGGTCCAAGTGAGATCTGATTAGGTTTTGTCAAACATGTGGTTTTTTAAAAAAAAAAGTTCCTTTAATGTTGGAGGAAGGTACAGTTACCATTTGTTTTAAAGAAGGTTTTGCTTGTTTTATTTAGATTGTCTCCTGCAATTTCCCACAACTGTCAGAATGTGAACAGAGATTTTAAAGCAGGTTGGGTGTGGATTGAAATGAAACAACTTTGCAAGATAGAAACTGTTAATAAGAGGATTTATGTTAACAACCTTTATTGCAGAGCATCAACCAAGCAGGGCAAAGTCTTGAGGAAGAGCTTCAAAGTTGTAATGTTGAGTCGATACTTCTACCGTGTTGCATACATTCTACTTGGAAATGAATATCATAATGATATTGCCACTGGACTAATAATGCAGTGGCTCAGGTCCATGATCTGGGAGCACAGGTTCAAATCCCGTCGTGACAGCTGGTGAAATTCAGATTTAGAGTAATAGACTAATACAGCATGGAAACAGGCCCTTCAGCCCAAGCTGGTCCATGCTGACCATAGTGCCCACTCAGCTAGTTCCAATTGCCTGTATTTGGTCCATATCCCTCTAAACCGTTCCCATCCATGTACCCATCCAAACGGATTTTTAAATGTTGCTATTGTACCTGCCTCAACCACTTTCTCTGGCAGCTCATTCCATATACGCACCACTCCCAGCGTGAAAAAGTTCCCCGTCCGGTACTTTTTAAATCTTTCCCCTTGCACCTTAAACCTATGCCCTTTGGCTTTCAATTCCCCATCCCTGGGAAAAAGACTATATATATTCATCCTATCTATTCCCCTCGTAATTTTATGCACATCAGTAAGGTCATCCCTCATTCTCCCACGCTCCAAGGAATAAAGGCCTCTCCTGGCCAACCTTTCGCTATAACTTAGGCCTACTAGTCCCGGCAACATCCTTGTAAATCATCTTTGCACACCTTCCAGTTTAACTATGTCTTTCCCTTAACAGGGTGACCAAAACTGTACACAGTACTCCAAGTGCGGCCTCATCAATGACTTATACAACTGTAACATAACGTCCCAACTCCTATACTCAGTGCCTCGACTGGTGAATGCCAGCATGCTAAATGTCGTCTTCTTCACCCGGTCTACCTGCAATGCCGCTTTCAATGAGCTATGTGCTTGTACTCCTAGGTCTGTCTGTTCCACAACACTCCTCAGGACCTTACCCTTTACTGTGTAAGTCCTACCTTGGATTCACTTTCCAAAGTGCAACACCTCACACTTGCCTGTATTGAATTGCATTTGCCAATCCTCAGCCCACTTCCCCATCTGATCAAGATCCCTCTGTAATTTTTGATAACCTTCCTCACTATCAACTAATACCTACTAATTTTGTATCATCCGCAAACTTACTAATTATGCCTTGTATATTCACATCCAGATCATTTATGTAAATAACAAAGGCCAAAGCACAGACCCCTGTGGCACACCACTAGTCACAGGCCTCCTGTCTGAGAAACAACCTTCAACCATCACCCTCTGCTTCCTGCCATCGAGCCAATTTTGAATCCAATTAGCTAGATCTCCCTGGATTCCATACAATCTAACCTTCATGACTAGCCTGCCATGTGGGACCTTGTCAAAGGCCTTACTAAAGTCCATATAGACAACATCCACTGCCCTACCCTCATCCATCCTCTTGGTTACCTCTTTGAAAAACTCTAAAAGATTTGTCAGACATGATTTCCTGCGCACAAATCCATGCTGACTATCCCCAATCAGACCTTGACTATCCAAATGTTGGTTGATCCTGTCCCTCCGTATCCTCTTGAATAATTTGCCTACCACTGATGTCAGGTTCACTGGCCTGCAGTTCCCTAGCTTATCCTTGCTATCTTTTTTAAACAATGGAACAACATTAGCCACCCTCCAGTCTTCTGGAACTTCACCAGTGTCTAAAGATGAAGTAAAAATCTTAGCAAGGGCCTCTGCAATTTCTTCCCTAGCCTCCCACAATGTCTGAGGATGGACTTGATCAGGACCAGAGGATTCAGCCACTTTAATGCACTTTAAGGCTGCAAACACCTCCTGCCTGGTAAATGTAACATCCCCACTTGTTTCCCTTATTTCCTTAGCATCCATGATTCTCTCCTCAATAAATACTGGGAGAAATATTCATTAAAAATCCCCCCTATCTAATGTAGCTTCACACATCGATGTGTGATCTTTAAGGGGACCTATTATCTCCCTAGCCCCACTTTTAATATAGCTATAGAACCTCTTGGGATTATTTAGTTAAAGAATTTGGAGTATAAAACTGGTGCCAATAATGGCAACCAATGTTTCCCCTAATTTTTTCTGCTAGTGTGCGGACCTCCAACATCCATGCATAGAGCTATGCATCAGCACACTGATCAGCGTGTGCATAGCTTCCCAATGGCTGTCCAGTTAGTTCTCATGGTCACCATCTATCATTGTCACAAAAACTCATCTAATTCACTGATGGCCTTTGGGGAGGGTAACCTGCCATCCTTAACTAGTATGGCCGACATGTGACTGCAGACCTCCACTCTCTAAAATAGCCAAACCAACCACTTAGTTAAAGGCCGTTTACATCCTCTTGAATTGTTTTTAAAAAAATGAGTACCCTGTTCAGTCATTTATTTAAACTTGTTCAAAATGCAAACAGCGCAGTCAAGGTCAAATGTTGTTGCTCACCCATAATCCTTGTTGAGAAGGGATGGTAAGCTTCCTCCAAGGTTAACATGTAGGTTCACTTCACAGTTAGGGAGGCGAAGGCAATGTTAACATTCATTTCAAAAGGGCCACAATACAAGAGTAGGGATGTACTGTTGAGGCTGTATAAGACTCTGGTCAGACTGCATTTGAAATATTTTGAGCAGTTTTGGGTCCCGTATCTAAGAAAGGATGTGCTGGCATTGGAGGGGTCCAGACAAGGTTTACAAGAACGATCCCCGGGATGAAGAGCTTGTCGTATGAGGAGCGGCTGAGGACTCTGGGTCTGTACCTGATGGCATTTAGAA